GGGCTCACTCCTCCACAGGCCTTCCTTTATTAGGCAGATGCTCATGACTCACAGGCCTGTATTTCTGATCTAGATTTTCCTTCTCAACCTAAGACCTGAATACCCAGCTGCTTACTGGGCAGACATGGCTACCCAGACACGCGCCAGACGCAACAGGTCAGACCTGCATGCGCCCTCTCCCCTGCTCTTCTCCCGCATCCCTGGTGCAGAAGACATGCCCCCTCCACGTTTCCCAACCAGAGGCCTCAGCATCATCCCTGACTCTCACTGCCATGCCAGGACCTGTTGATCCTCCTACCCAGGCAGCTCTCAGATCTGTCCCCTTCTCTCCATTCCCACCACCATTCCCTTTGGTGGGCCCCTCTCTGCCTCTGGTCCTCCTGCCTCCAGCCCTGCCTTCTACCCTCCAAGCTACTGGCTGATCCGATCATGGGACTTCCCTGTTTAAAATTCCCAAAGACCTGGCAGTGCCCTGCCTCATCCACCCCTGCCTACCTCTCCAGCCCACCTGTCAGCACGCTCCACCCCCCCTTTCCCCTCTCACCCCCCTCTGCACCTCACACTCTGCTCCTGCTGGAAAGGACCAACTGGCAAGGTCACTGGAGGTCTGGGTTGGAGGGGCTTCCTGTGTGCCATGCTCATACCTCACCCGAAGCCCGTACCCCCACATCCCACGGGCCTGCTCATCTGACCCCAGGTGTACGATCTGGGGGCCAGTCTGTGACCTAGTCATTTTGTATCCCTACCTTCTAACCCAGGGCCTGGTACTGGTCAGGTGATCTTTAAGGATTTGTGGGTGAACGGCAGGACGGGGAAGGCAGGGTTGAGACACGCCTACTGGATTTGGTGAGCACATCTTGCTCCATGAAGGGTAGTTGAATCTCCTGCCCCAGTTGAGAAACACGCCGGCGTCGGCTCTCTCTGGGACTCCCTTCAGTCATTAGTCAGTTGCTTCAGCAACACACGTAGTAATGCCTTGTCTACGTGCATCCTGGGTGTGGATCCTGTCCCCTGGCCAGAGTGGAAGCCTCCTGAGGGCAGGGGCCCAGTCTCCTTTTCGCTCTGGTTCACGGCTCCTCAGCCCTTCAGACCAGCAGTCAGGAAGAAGGGGAGACGGTGCAGCCCTGGAGCCCGATCCTCCCATTCACATCCCAGCTCTGTCACTACGATCACGTGACCTTGAACTAGTGAACTGCAGAGCCCATTTCGTCCTTTGGAAACAGAAATATTGGTACCAACTCACTGGGCTGCGAGGATTGAATGAGAGGATGCGCATCAAGCATTTAGCACTGGGCCGGGCACGAGGAAGGACTTGAGGATAGGAGCTGTTATTATTGTAATATGGTTGTCAGCTCCCAAGCTCTGGTCTCTGCCTTTTCCCCCTCTGCCTGGCTCCCCTATCCCCACCCACAGCTCTTACTTATTCCCACTGCCACGGCTCAGAGGGAGCAATCAGACAATAAGGCCAGAGCTCATGGAGGGAGATCCCTAGGGCCTCAGGGAAACTGTAAGGGGGGGGCGGGGCAGAGGGGGTGCTAGAAGGCTGCCCTCCCAGGGGGCGGAAAATGAGTCATGGAAGTGAGAGAAAGACTGATTGTGTGTCAGAGCCTGGGCCCCAGGGCCTGGCCCGGCGCCACGGTCTGTTTACAGAGCGTCAGGACAGAGGAGCGCAGCTCAGGTGGAGGCCAGCGTCCAACACCAGTGTCCAACACCAGTGTCCTCCCCTCCCCTGTCCTGAGCCGGGGAGGGGGGTGTCAGCAGAGTGGGAAGTGCAGGAGCTTTGCAATAAAAAAAATGTGGCTTCAGAAGCAATAACTTCTCTCTGAGCCTCGATTTCCTCTATAAAATGCGGATAACGAGACTGTCTGCCTTGTAGGGTTGGTGTAAGAATCAAATGAAAATATCTGTAAAGTACTTAGCACAGCGCCTCACACATTAAAAAAGAGGGAGAGAGCTGTTTTATTCTTATTGCTGTTAAGGGCTTAGTATGTTGCAGGAGGTGAGATTCTGAGGTCTCAGACCAGGAGGCAGACGCAGGGGCAGGTGAACGGTGTGGAGGGTGAGGAGGGGCAGGGCAGGCTGCCGTTCCGCAGAGAAGGGCACATCGTGTGGTGGGATGCTCACGTATCTCGAAGGCATTGTGATGCCCCCTGAGAAGCACAGGGCCCATTTCCCCCCGCCCTGCCCGCCCCTGAGCCAGGGAGAGCCTCTCTGTTTTCTGCCTTGAGCTGCCTAGGAGGCCTGGATAAGCTCACCATCCGGAGGCCAGGCACGCGTGCCCACGCTCAGTGGGCGGGCTCTGCCTCCACTTCTGAGCCTGCTCAGGTCTGGGCTGTCCCCCTGCCACCATCTGCTCAGGGCACAGTGATCTGCAGACCCTCCGGTAGAAGGCCTGGCGAAGGGCCTGGGGACTCCATTCCCGAGTTCTCAGGACACCCGAGGCTGCCTGGCGGTGCTGACGTGCTGGGAGCCATGCCAACCTGCCTGCTGCATGAGCCGGGCCGGGTGGCAGTCCCTGGGGCCTCATTAGCTTTACCACACAGCGCCTCCCAGTTCCCTGAGACGCATGCCTCTTGCCCCGCCTGCAGTCAAGTCCTCTCTCCTGAGCCCCAAGAAAGGCTCTGGGTGTGAATGTCTCCTCCCCTGGGACCCCCAACTTGATGGAGACATCCCTTCACTCCTCCGCTCCAGAGGCCAGAAGGAGCCCCAGAGGCCAGAAGGAGTCCCCCTCCTATCAGCCTTTGGCGGGCTTGCATAAACTCTGGGTCCACTCTGGGACTGTTCTTGGCTTGGTTGGTCCAGCAGGCTCAGCTGAGCCCATATCCCCACCTGATCCCTTTCCAGAAATGGGCCTGGGACGGCCCTAGTGTGTAAGCTTCTTGGCCAGGCATTTGGCGCCTCTACCCCGTAAGTCCCCACTGTCTCTGAGATATCCTGGGTTCCTCTACCTGCAGCCTCTGGCCCTCTGACAGTCTAGTTTCTAATTTACCAAATGGACCAACGCAGTCCCACTGCCGTGCTGTTGCTGAAGCCACTCCAGTCTCCATTCTTGGAGGTGCAGCCCCACTGTGGACCGAGGTTTAGTGTACCAGGCTCACGCCTCCCCTCGGCCCCTCCTCTGACAGCCAGTTTCCCACATGCTGCCTTGTGCGGCCACTACCTTCCCCAGCAGCCCCAGAACAGAGCTGGGCTCACAGCAGGTGCTGAAGGGAACTTCGGTGAGAGAGCTGTGTAGGGTGGCTCCTTCACTGCCCAGGCAGGAGGGTCAGAATCACCCACACCGTCAAACCTCTTCGCTCACGTTACCTGCCACATTCCTTAAAGAGGACAGCCAGGAGCTGAGTGGCTTGAGAGGAAGGGAGTCTGCCAAGCAGAGGGATTAAGAGCACAGGCCTCAACCTGAATTTTGGGTTTGAATCCCAGCTCAACCACGAACCAGCTGTGTGACCTTGGTCAAATTACCCAACCTCTCTGAGCCTTAGTTTTCTGAGGTAATCATACCCTGTAGATTTGAGGAATGAATTCAATACCATACAGCAAGCACACAGAACAATGCTCATCCCTTATTAGGCACCCTATAATTAACAATTCAATTAGTAAGCATTAATGGCATTAATAAGAGGAGCAACATTATTATTAGTGTGAGCAAAGGTGTCCTCCTCCTCCTTCTCTACAGAGGCCAGGTCTGAGTCTCTCCAGCATGGCCCCAGCCCCACCCCTCCCTCCTTGTGCGGGCATCAGACCTATGCCCACCTCCTCCCCTTCTCCTAAGACCTAAACACCTCAGAAGGGCCCTTCTGGCCGCACACTCGTGGGAACACATCCTATGGGGTGGGATGAGGCCATGGGCTTATGTTCTGTCAACAGAGATTTCCCTCTCTGTGCCACTGAGGGTTCTCTGGGAAGGGGCCTGGGGACCGGGGGTCTGGGATATACTCACTAGGATGCCCAGTACCAGCCTGGGTTAGCCTGGATATAGTCCTTAACGGGGTCGCTGCAGAGGGAGGGAGGGAAAAGAACAAACATTTACCCTCTGTCTCTGTTTCTGGTTCAACATCTGCCCTTGCCCCCCACCCCCACCCCAGTTCACAGGATCTGAGAGAAAGAAAGGAGGTTTGCACCCCTGGTGGCTCAGGAAGCCCAGCCACAGTCCCAGGCTGGGACTCAGAAGTGCTGGGTGTGGGGCTAGAGGATCTGAGAGAGGCCTAGAGAGCCCCAGCCCTCC